TTCCCGTACCAATTGCCTGCAGTATGAATAAAACCTTAAGGAGTGGATTTCATCTTTTAAAAGATGACTGACCACTGGCACCCCAGTGTTACCAATTTAACACCAACAGCAAAAGTTGGTCTGGTAGAATCAGACGATGTTTATTTATGACAAATCTTATGAGTGTGTCAGGGATGGGAGTGAAAAGATGTTTGATAAGAAGTAACTGACCCTTTGAATTTACTAGTGGGCTCTCAGATAATATACTTTCAGAATGGCAGACTTTAGGCCTATAATATATACCGGTATAGAACTATTATTTCCGAATATTTACAATCAACATACCCGACTTTAATAGTACATGTCTAGTTGCAACGTGTGAATGTCATGATCCAAAGAGCTATTTATGTATTAAAAAGGGATGAATCTTCCTGAATAGACAAATTGTATATATCTCTTTACAAGATAACTTGTGCAAACATCTAATTTGTCCGAACAAATATCTAATCCGTCCGAACAAATAACTAATTTGCCCGAACGAATTTCTTATTCGTCCGAACAAATAACTAATTCGTCCGAACGATTTTCTAATTTGTCCGAACAAATATCTAATCTGTCCGAACAAATAACTTATTTGTCCGAACAAATTTCTAATTCGTCCGAACGAATTTCTAATTTGTCCGAACAAATAGAAACTATTTTTTTTACCTGGCCCTCCAGCGGCGCCGTAAAAATTGGCATACATCATGACCAACATTTTTTTGAATAATGACTGAAAATTTCAGTGAAATATCTCTATAAATAAAATTTTCCTCTCAGGTAAACGAATCTTTCAAATCGGTTGTCGACGCAACACTGACGACGTCAGAAAGTATCTCGTAGTGTTTACGAATTTGTTCTGGAAATTGTGCCTCTGTTCATATTCATTTTTAAGCACGCATTCGGCAATGTACTAGTGTTTAAAGCAATATGAGCTGCATTTTTGAAAATTTTATTTTGCTGGTAATATGTGTTATTATGATTAATCTGTATGTAATCTAAACCCTAATGATCAATAAAACCAAAATAAAGTTTAAAAATGTTTCAGAAGAAATATTTCTGTATAACTGAATATACATTATGATATAAGAAATCATTATTGTACAGGACGACAATAATTCAATTTTGCTTCAATCAAAGCGTATAAAAAGTTCTTTCATAGCAAAAATGAACAACAGATGTTTATAAATGTTCTATTTTTCTGTCATTGAAATAATTAATTACAAATTTGCAACATTTTTTTTTAATGTCAAACATGCAGCTCATATTGCTTTAATTTTATTCTAGGTACCAAGTTATACATCTCAAATACTAGTGTTACATCCACGTACCGACGAGAATTTCTAACAATACACGCTTCTTGACCCAGTTTTCACTTCACCTGATATTCAGGTATATGATTCGGGTGTCCTTGAAATTGACCCAGCTTTTAGTGATCACAAAGCAACTTATATTGCACTAGCCTCGAATATAAATTACAATCGCGCTTACAAAAGAAAGATATGGGATTATAAAAATTGTGACTTTGACAAATTAAATTCCTTAATACAAAATTGTGACTGGGATAAATATATCAATGATGTCGACAATATAGACGCGGCTACCGACAAATTTTCAAATAAATTTCTCTGATGTGTTAGACAATCTTTCTGTGAAAAAACAATTACTATACGTCCACGAGATAAACCTTGGATGGACTCCACTCTGCGTAAAACTCTAAGACTTAGAAATAGATTACGAAATAAAGCATTAAGAACGAAGAAAGATTCGGATTGGGCTGGATTCAAAAAAGTTCCAAACACGTTCAATAACATTAAAAAATATGCTATAGCTAATTACTATGACAATATAGAAATGCACCTAATAGACGCAAACTAAAACAACAACAAATTATATTGGAAACTAATGAAGGACGCATTTAATATTAAATCATCCAATGATATCCCTCCATTACAAATTACTATAGATAATGGGGAAAATAGCTTAGCCAGAATTATTTTCAAACACGTGTATAATTATTTTCATTATAACAATTTATTTTATCGATATCAAACGGTTTTTTACCTGGTCATTCTACAGTGTACCAACTTCTAAAAACTTAAAGTATTGTGCAAAGTATAGATGAAGGCAAATCGTGTTGTATAGTTTTTTGTGATCTATCTAAAGCATTCAACAGAGTATGGCACAAGGGTCTTCTTTTCAAATTACAAACGTATGGAATATCTGGTGATCTTTTACTGTGGTTTACAAGTTACTTGAGAAATAGATCACAAAAAGTTATGTATAAAGATCTGCTATCATCCAACCTCAATATATATGCAGGTGTGCCTCAAGGCTCAGTTCTAGGTCCTCTTTTATTTTTTATATATATTAATGATGTTGCTGAAAATATGCTTACAATGTGTAGATTATTTGCTGATGACAATTCACTGCAACATGCATCATATAATGTACTAGATATAGAATACAGGTTAAACCATGATCTTGATGTTTTAGATAAATGGTCGAGTAAATGGCTTTTAAGATTTAATCTAGCAAAAACAAAGGTTGTATTTTTTTCTTTAAAACATAGACCTGTTTTACCTAACTTGTATTTTCAAGGCAATGCACTGGAGTTTGTATCGGCGCATCGCCATTTGGGTACATTGTTGTCACAAAATCTCAGCTGGTCTGAATATATAGATAGTATTGTTAATAATGCTGATAGGAAATTGGGGTTATTGAAGAAGTTGAAATTTTCAATAGATAGGAAAAATCTTTCTCTTTTGTATACAACATTTGTAAGACCTACACTTGAATATGCTTCAATTGTCTGGGATGGTTGCTCTTTATCTGATGTAGAAAAACTTGAAAAAGTATAATTAATGGCTGCTTGAATAGTTACTGGTCTTCCGATACTAGCTTCAAGAGAATCACTCTATTTTGAAACAGGGTGGGTACCTTTGAAAAACCGTCGTTACCAATCAAAAATGATTACAATGTTCAAAATTAATAATTGTGATGTACCGGAATATATACAAGATATAGTCCCAAGAAACGAGAACACACATCAAGATACAATACACGAAATAAATAAAAGATCAATTAACTATCCCGAGAGGCAGGTTAGAAATATTTAACAAATCGTTTGTACCTGATGCAGTTAAAAAATGGAATTTATTGAATACAGATACAAGGGAAGCCATCTCAGTCAATTCTTTTCGTAAGATTAAAAGTGATAATAATCCTAAAGCACCATCATATTTGTTGTTTGGTAAACGTATACTAACATTATTCATACTAAATTAAGGCACAACTGTGTATTGAACCAAGACTTATTCAAACGTAATATCATTGATTATCCCATTTCTCTTGTGGTAGACAGGAAGATGCCTATCATTTTTTCTTTGTTTGTAAAAAATACTGTAATGCTCGAAGTAATCTTTTTGACTATCTTTTTTGACTTGATTTAAACATCATAGATGTACACCTACTGCAATGGGGCAACGAAAATCTTTCAATTGAAGTAAACATTGGCATTTTTGCCGCTGTTCATAAATTCATAAATGAGTCCTGTACATTAGTTAGATATATTATTGACTCTTATTTGTACACGTTTTTGCTACTATTTTGCATGACAATTACTATGTGTTTTTTTAAGGAGAAGAACTAGTAAGTTGTTAGAACTTGTTTCTTATCCTTTTGCTTGTCAATAAAATATGTTCAAAACAACGCGCGGTATTCAATTTGTCGGCACGACCGCGAGGAGAATGACGAATGCCAGATATTCATTTAACAACCACATGATAGCATAAAAATTTCATCTCATACGTAAAAAAAATTAACTCAATTCGGTTAAATCACAACAAATATGGCACGTGCTTTTTTGAGGACAGTAAACAGGCTTTGACTGATCGCATGTTGCTGATGACTAATGCCGCACTGGTAAACAATCATTCAGTATGAATTGGCCAGTGTTATCGGGGTATTGTTATACCCCCGCTTGAGAAGTTGGAGGGTATTAGTAATCGGTATCGTCCGTCTGTATACCGTCTGTCCGTATGTCCGTCTGTTTGTTACGATTTGGGTTACGTATATCTCTTATCCGCAACTCCTCTTATACCAAAGAGTGAAATTTATTATTATCAGTTAAAGATCAAGTTTGAATTTCGACTGTATAGCTTCATTGATTTTTGACAGAATTATGGTATTTTGAATTTTTTATATTCGTTTAATTAAGATCGGGTTCGTACTGTGCTATTCCGATGGTCGACATGAATATGAAACGAGAAAATGACGTTGGAAAATTGAGTTGAATTTTCGTCTCTATGTGGATTGTTTTTATTAGGTTAAAGGCATTCACAACCTCAAAATCAAGCAGTTTTACCTTGGACATAACTTTTGCATATTATAGAATGACACCCTGAAGAAAAAGGGGAACCCGGTATGGGACATGTGTTGCTTATGCAATACTCTCAGAATGCTTGTTTTGCTAGGTTGTTGAAAATATAACATTCATTTTGAATTTATAAAACACAAAAATTTAGGTGTCATTTTAGGTCTTTTTTATTCACATAAATCTTAATTTTTCAACGCCAATTTAATGTTAAAAATAATTATCATTAATCATTTAAGTAAACTGATTCCATAAATTAAAGTTAATTTAATGTTTAACATTTTAATATATTTCTAATTTATTGCCAAATTAATTTTAAATAGTTAAATGATTTTAATACTAGTAACTCAAGATTAATGCTAAATGCACACACTTGACTGTGAACATATGTAATAGAAACCAATAAGTTCAATTTAATTAATTCAAATCGATTAAAATGTCAATAAATAGCAAATGTATTCGAAAATATTCTTACCACAGTGTCAAGAAATACTTATATATCGTATAGTACATGTAATTCAATATATTAGCCACATCTATTTGGTTTTACACTATGACATAATTTAAACATTTTCCAAGTTTAATTGGAGTATTCTTTCTATCATAGAAATGATGGATATTATGGGACAGCAATAGAACTACCAACAGAACGGCCATTTTATTTGTTGAGATTTAGAGGTTATTGTCAGCTTGTCAAGGGAATGTATGTTATAGAAGAGTATGTCTATTCTGATGACGAGGATTTCAACAACAAAAACAGGGTATCTGGAGCTTATCCATCTGATGCTGGAGGCAGCGACCATAAATTGTATTACTGTTACTATTACAAAAAATATTACTAGTACCCTGTGTAAAATTGGTATTCATTGATCTTTTTGTGTTAATGATGAGATATGTATTGTACATGTATTCTAGAAAATATCAATCTTCATTTAAGTTTCTTTCATGCATGAATTTCGCAGGTCCTTTTTTTCGAATTTTAAAAGAAAAAAAAGACATTTAGGGCAAACTGACCATGGTTCGGACGGTTCTTGTTTTGCTTACAAGCAATAAGCTGTTGTTCCGAGTGTCAGTGGTCTAGACTCTTACTATCAACTGGGAAGTGTTTTGGAACATTTCGGGTTTTATCAATTGTCAATATATCACCAAAACACTAAATACCTCTGTTCCAAATAGAAGTTAAACTCATTAAGCCATTTTTACCATGGTTCGAACGTATCTGACCAAGGTTCGGGCATGATAATACACAGTAAACAAATGTTGTTCTTTTCTTTAATAACAGATATGCAATATTTACAGGCTCGTAGTAGCGACCAGCGAGAGCCCCCCTTTTCTGAAACATAACATTTTTCTATTGAAATTTAAAATCATAGATATTTATTGAAAGTCTGTCCCCTTCTTTTGTTGTAGCATTGTTACATCGTAGTGTTTGGTAAATACATTTCGGCATTTGATAAAATTTAAACGTGAAAGAAAGTTTGACCCCCTTTGGAGTTTGGACCATTTTCTATGGGGTCGTTCGTTTGCTAGATTTTTAAAAATTTTCTTTTCTTGTCAAAGTTTTAAAAGATAAGTTGTTATAATTTATTATTTTTTTTTATTTCTCTCCCAAACCCTTCAAAATCGAGAGTACGTGTCTGATTTCTTTCAAATACTACATATAGAGTCGCATGACAAAATAAGAAACATCCAATAAGATTTTGATATCTTTCCCATTCCTAATAAAAATTTGTTGGATTTTTTAAAATTATTATTTTAAACTAGCCCTCTTTTTCTTTATCCATCTTTCCTCTTTTTTGTGTTCTAGTTTGTCTTTATAAGTATCAAATGAGGTATGTTGACAAAAGTTTCGTCATATCTGGCCTGGGGGCCATAAAACTGAGACGAGCTCACTTTTGATCTCAGTCTCACTTTTTCACTATATATTCCTTTGGGAAAAGTGAGACTGAGATCAAAAGTGAGCTCGTCTAAGTTTTATGGCCCCAGGCCCTGGGCTTAATTATGTCGCAGTTTCAATTTCAGTAAGAAATCATAGCCGTAGTCAGCGGTATCAACTCTGATAACTACGTGCTGAGAGAGCTTCAAGCAACTGCATGACAATCGTTTGAGTTCGTCTGTAATTTGCAATGAAAACACACTGAAAAATTAATATAAAAGAAATCATTTCTATTGCTTGATCACCCCTCCCATTTTCTTCGACTGTAACCTCAAATATGTCGAAGTTTTCCTCAAAACAACGAGACCGAGATTGTGGAATTAAAAAAAAATAATTGTATTTAAATTTTATTGATTTCGCTAGTTCTTGCTCTGTCAATGCATATTTGGAAGGCCATATTTCACTCGAAATCACCATTTGTTCCAAATACCACCGCATATTCCAGTAAAGCAAATATACGCTAGTTTTGCTTTAGATTATCTGATTCCTTTGTTTGCAAGTTCGTGTTATGTATTCAGTTATCTTCAATCTTTTCGTCTTCTTCAAGTGAAAGTTTGGGCTTGCATGACATGACATCGTCTCTTGCTATTTGGTACTAGGAGGGATTCGTATAGGTATAGATCTATACCATTTCCAGAAAAAAGGTAGCGTGTGTTACAAAGTAACACCCCCTCTCCTCGAATATTTACCTGAGGTCCAAGAATTTTGTATAATGACATGCTGACACACCCTTAAGAGCTGATCATTGTCAGGATGGGTGCGTATCATTACCGCTACATTTTCAAAATTTTCATTACCGCTACATAGTCATTACCGCTACAAAAAACCTTACGTTACCGCTACATAAAAAAGTATACATTACTGCTACATTGCCTCTTTCGTTAGCCAGCCATTTATGCGTGTACAGTACAACCTATACATGTACATGCATAAGACCCGTTCCTCCTGCTCACCATGGGGAGGTGAAAGTAGGACTTTGAACAGGATGGGTTTTTTTTAAAATTAAAATCAACAAATAATTCGTCGAGGTCTGTTTTGCAGCTGCTTTTGCAACTCTTTTCCACGCATCTCCACAATTTTCAATTTTTGAAAGTCTTATTTTTTTCTAAATTTAAAAAAAAAAATCGATATGTAAGCCGGCATTCCCTCGATTTGTAACAAACTTCTCAAACTTCTGGTATATGTACTCATACTGATTAGTTAGTGAGTGAATTCTGTTGATTAGAACTCATGTAAACCGAACTATACCTGGATAAATCGATATGTAGCGGTAATGAGTTGTTTTTGGCTGATTCAGTATGTAGCGGTAATGAGTTGTTTTTTGCCGGAAAAATGTAGCGGTAATGATCGGTCGAAAATCTGACAAAATGTAGCGGTAATGAGTTGAAATTTTTGGCAATGTAGCGGTAATGTTGACCTCCCGTCAGGATAACCTTTATCCTTTTGTTTTTGTCACAGGTACTTGTGGACAGGACCCCCCCCCCCCCCCGATATTCAACCCCTGGACTTATTTAACATTTTTTTCACAATTTATATTTAGTACACTTATTCAACATGTTTGCAATAGGAGCAAATCGTCAAAACCCCAAAATAATCGGTCCACAAAAATAATAATGTATAGTGGGGTATTTTTTTGAAAGCGATTTGTTCCTATTGCAAACATGTTGAATAAGTGAACTAAATGTAATTTGTGAAAAAAAAATGTCAAATAAGCCCCGGGGTTATCAAGGGGGTGGGGGTCCTGTCCACAAGTACCTCTGGTTTTTGTTTCCATAATAAAAGAAATGAAAAAACTTTTCTGTTTTTTTTTTAAATTACAAGCAATGCGTTTTAAATTATTACTTTTGGGCTGTCGAAAAGTTGTTCGAATTGAAATGCAATTTATTTCTGCTCGGGGTGTTTTCTTCAACTTTCTTCCGCCTTTTGCAGGTTGGCTTGACCTCGGTTAATTTTCGTTCTAAATAAAAAAAAAATGACGAATGCGCACGGCGAATCTCTACATGTCAGTGCACGATCTTCATAAACTGCAGTAGCATCAATGCATGTCTTCGGTTTCTGATTATTGCTTTCATGTTTTGAACAAATAATACACAAGTCATCTAGCACCCAAATACATGTAGTGCATATATACTGAGACCATACACATCCTTAATTATGACGTCTTCCATTTTTGTTCTACGCTAGGGATTATTATTTCATTGTAAATGACATCTACAATTAACATGATTAAATAGTCTATATGTATAAATTAAAGATGTAACCGGCACTTGTTCATTTCTAAACCAATCAAAAAATTCTTGTTGCTATATAGGGATTTGTTTTAAATGCTAGAAATAATATCATTTATGATTAATGAATTGGTTTAAATTTCAATTTATTAAACATCATTTACTCAATCAATTAAATTAATTAATTTTATCAAAAAAATGAAAAAATGCATATAATAATATGATATATGTTTGAGGAGCCCATCCTCATTTTGATCGATTGAAAATGCTTGTACAAGTATGTACATTTAAAATAAATATACATTTTTTTTTATAGTTACATGAAGTATGATTTTTAAAAACAATATTATTATCCGTATGCTTTGAATATCAATCACGTAAATTTATTGACTCTCCGATTTTTTTAAAGGCGATTTCAGTAGCTTGAACTTTGGTTTGCGCAATGTACGAATCATGGTCATCTGATGTACGAACCTAGGTACATTTAATTTTCAGACTTCGAGGAAGATTTCACAACAAATATAGAAAATAACTTATACAATTTTTAACTAATAGAAAGGATTAATTACTTAGAAACGCAATAGAAATAATTCATAATGGTTTAATAAAGTTGAGCCTCATTCATTTGATTTTACTTGCAAGTGTTTGTTTACTTTTCCTTTTAACTGCTGACGTAATACAAACTACATATGCCCTAAAATCGTAGCGCCGCCACCAAATATCGAGTCATGTGATAAACAAGGGGTCTTGACTAAATAAAAAATCCGATCGCCGAGATTGATATATTTCCGTATTATTCTGAAAACAGATTTATTTAACTGAAAAAAATAACGGTAAAGTTGTCCGAACCTAGGTCATTTTTTTTGTCTGTCCGAACCATGGTCAGTTTGCCCTACATATGGCAAACCCTTTTGTTATTTATTCAGAAAATAACATTTATATTAAAATTTAAAAGATGTCTCTCATTTTTAAGAGATATTTCTTTGAGAAAGAGATATCTCTTATACTACGAGAGATATCTCTTTTGATAAGAAAGAAATCTCTTCCACTTGAACAGATATCTCTTTCTCCTTAAGAGATATTTTTTTCGTGAATTGTACGCTGTTTTACGTCCCACTCGTGAATTTTTCATTCATAAAATGACATCACCATATACCAGTAAAGGGCTTCATTTTCAATGTCTATTTAAACAACAAGAGGCCCATGGGCATTATAGTTCACCTGAGCATCATGCAACAACTTTCCAGTGATTGAATTTGATTCATGTTTTGAGCCAGATGCTGTGGCATTCACAATTTTGAAAGAGGCACCATTGATCATCATCATAACTATACACTTATCAATTGCTTAGTTTGGTTACTTAATACCCAAAGGCAGGGTAGCAACTAATCAGTAATATTCAGCAATAATCAGTAGTGCCCCTACCACACATGAACCCCTGATCCTTAGACCTAGGTCCACACATTTTTGAAAAGGCACCCTTGATTTTCAAAAATATTTGATTAATACCAAGGAGCATATTTTAAACAATTAATTCATTTTCAGTATACAAAGTACAGTCCCCTGTCTATGGTGCCCCTGACCCTGGGGCCTTGAAATTCACAATTCTCAAAAATTAGGGCCCTTGCTCATCATATCTATATAGGTAGTTCATCTGCTTATTACCCAGGAGCAGAGAATAAAAGTTTCAAAGATTAAATGTATTTTTACTACATAATCAATAGAGCCCCGCCCTAACACCAGAACCCCTGACCCTGGGGCCATAAAATTCACAATTTTGGTATAGGCACTCTTTCTCATCATAACTATGTATTTAGTTTATTTGATACTCAGGAGCAGAGAAGAAGATTTCCAAAGAATTTATGTATTTTCTCTATAAAATAAATAAAGGCCCGCCCTAACACCAGAACCCCTAACCCCAGGGCCATGAATTTCACAATTATAGTAATAGCTCTCTTGCTCATCATAACTATGTACATGTACTTTAATTTATTTAACACCCAGGAGCAGAGAAGTTTTTAAAGAAATAATGCATTTTCACATTAGACTTGTTTTAGCCCCGCCCTAGCACTAGAATCCCTGATCCCAGGGCCATGAATTTCACAATTTTGGGAGAGAACTCAATGCTTATTACAATCATGCCAACAGTTTGACTGCTTGATGTCCGGGTATAAAGAATAAGATTTTTAAAGATTGCATTAATTTTAGTGGTTTTGGTCCCACCCCACCCCTCAGGCCCCGGGGGGGGGGGGTAGGGATCATGAAATTCACGATTTTTTCCCCTTTACCCTTAAATGCTTTATGCCAAATGTGATTGAAATTAATTCAGTGGTTGCAGAGAAGAAGCTGAAAATGTTTAAATGTTAATGCACAATGTTAATGCACAACGCACGACGATGCACGAAAACGGATAGCAATAGGTCACCTGAGTTTACTCAGGTGACATAATAAAAAGCGGAAAATAAACGTTGCCACGCTGAATGGATATTTAGATAACTGTTAAACAAAATGACCCTCTAAAAATCACTAAATCGCGAGAATCTGGAACCGGAAGTTAGGTCATGAAAATTAGAAAAAGTAATTATAGACTTTATTTACCAGAAGATAAAAGTTTCTTGAAAATCATTAAAGCCCTTTCAGCGAAACTAATGTGTAAAAAAAAATCTGTAAAAAAATTATTTTGATGAGATCTCAGTGGGAACAATGAGCAATTTCTGATTAATTCTTTCAT